CATGTGCAAAATGTCCCGAGAGCTTCCCTCTCCCGTCCCAGGGCCCCATCCCTGCCGTGCCAGGCCCTGCCGCCGGGCAGGGAGCAGCTCGGGAGCCGCGGGAGGGAGACAAAGCACGGAGGTTTGTTGGAGCTTTGTTGTTTTTTTTCTTTTTTTTCCTGAGTTTCTCAGCCTGGATCTTAATGAACAGGCTTAAATCTGCAACCGCGGGAGAGGGAAGGGAGAAATGTGCAAGTAATGGGAGGGAGGGGAAATCAACCACCAGGAGGGCAGAGCCTCTTTTAGGGCCAAATCCAGCACAGGTGCATGGGTGGGGAGGTGGTCACTGTGGGGCAGAGACCCCCCAGAGCAGACCACCCCAGTGCACACCCTGCATCACCCTCCCTGCCATGGGAGGGCTGGGCCATGCTGGCACTTCTGAAATAGATCAAGAAATACAGCAGAAATTTCAACACCCTGTTTTTGTCAGTGACAGCCTGGCCCTTTCTCTCTTGCTTTGGGCAAACAGCTGTGCTCCTGCTCTGTACTGGGGCTTCTTTTCCTCTCTGTCCTGCCCTCCCCAGCTCTGCCCTGGCCCTGGTGGCTCCCCCTGCCCCACTGCCCCTCACTGTGGCCTCTGGCATCAGCGGCTGGTGCTTCCACCCTGGAGCTAGGTCAGCAGGGAGACAAATCCCCCCCTGTGACATCCATTGTACCTCAGGCAAGGGCTGGCACCCCAACTAGGGACATGCCAACTGCCCCTTTGGCAGGGCTGGGCATGGTGGCCATACCAGCACCACGTCTCCCTGTGCCACCACAGCATGTGCCTCCCCCCCAGCAGCACCCACCCAGGCACACGTTGTGCTGCATGCCTTGGCACTGCATCCCGGCCACCAGGAGCAGGATCTGGCTGGCTTGGATGTGCCAGGGGGATGGTGGCACTGCCAACAGCCCTCTCTGGACAGTGGTGTGGTGCTGCCCCTGCTTTGCCCATGGCACTGGCATGCATCCTCCTCGGCCTGGCACAGCAACTTTGCAGCCAGCAGGCACGGGTCACCTGGGGTCACCCTGGAGGGACCCCAGGAGTCACTCGGGAGGTGGCTCAGGTGACATTTGGCTGGGCTTGGCCAACAGATCGGTGGCAACCCAGGGCCTACATCGGCTGAGGCACAGGGTGGTTGCAGATGCAGTCGCAGGGTACCCGGGTGCTGGCACCCGGGTGCTATGTGGGGGGTAGCCCTAGGTTGCTGCAGCCCCTCCTCCGGTGGTGTGGGGCTGCCCACACCCCACACACCTGAAATGGTCCTCCTGGTGCAGGACCTGCTGGCCCTGGAGGCCGGTGGGGAGCAGGGAGGCAGCCAGAGCTTGGGAGGGGGGGGGCTCCCTGGGGCTGGCAGAGGCAACCCTGGGGTTTGCTTTTGGACTGAGAGCTGAGGAGCTCTGAAATGCAGCATTTTGGGGGCTTTTGAGGGGCTGGGGTCTGGCTTGAGGTCTAGGTGCTGGCGGCAGATGCTGGGGTGTGGCAGGGGGGGGCCCCGGGGGAACAAGGGGGAACCCCCCCTG